GTAATGCACTACTCATATTACCTACATTTGTTCTAAATACGATTCCAGCTCATAGTTTTTGCTGTATACTTGGAAAAAAGGGGAGAACTTTGTGGGTAATTTAAACATTCAAGTCCCCTTGGAGACAGAACCATCAGTGAAATAAGACCTGTTTTTTACAGATCACCACAGCTAATATGGAATACGATCCCTACTTAAATTGTCTTACTATGGCATGGTAGTAAATCCTTGAGCTGAATTCTCAAAGTCTAAATGATTTTTATGTAAGGGTTCCAAATATTATGAGCTATTGAGAAAGTGGCCAACTGTACAGTTTTTCAACTTCGAATTTTTTTTTTTTTTTTACAAGCAACTTTTATGCGCGGCTCTGTGCTGCCAATGTTAGGGATCCTGAAATTTACCTATCTTTTCTCTGTTACTCATAGCACCACATACTTTTTTTTTATTATTATGGAACAGATTTAGTGCTTAAAGTAACCTCTGGATGCCATAAGATAAATGATGTTTGAGTCAGAGGAGTGTGCTCATTTTATTTACTGGACAGTCTGCAAATTGAGGGATGAGGGAACTAAATGCTTATTTTTACTTTGTCAGTGGCATCTGTATGACCCTGGTCTATAATTAATTTCTTTATACCTCAAAGACATATGTTCCTGGGAATGCAACAGTGAATATGGAGCTGTAGTCTCACAAGAAAGAGAAAGCAAACTGCTGCACTGATTCTCCTTTTGTGCTATTGTTGGGGTTTTTTTTTGTTCTGTTCTGTTTTGTTTTGTTCTGTTTTGGTTTTTTGTTTTGTTTTGTGGGAGTGTGATCAGGAATCAAACTCACAATCTTGTGCTTGCCAGGCAGATGCTGTGCACTAAGCCATATCTCCAGCCCCTTGATTCTCCTTTTGTGCCCTAGCAGTTCCTAGCATATTTGGGTCACTTTTCCTCAAGGTTGGCTAATGCCTTTCCCTTGGCCAGAAAAAGAGCTCACCTGTCCAGCAGAAAACAGTCATGAATTCTTTTCATAATGAGCCAGGCATCACGCTAGTTCCTGACGTTTCCATGGTGAACAAATCTTTACATGCCAGGTATACTTTTCCAAACTCATTCTATAGGGAATATCAACTTACTTTATATCCTTAGCTTATTCTAGAGTTTTATTCTAAGCCTCAAGTTTTTGTTCAATAGGAGGAAAATTTCCCCCCATAGACATTCTTTTGCTCACTGAAAGAAAGAACAGGGCAAGGGCTTTGGTCCCATCAGTATGTATATCAAATAACAGGATAACTGATGCCTTTCATATTTCTAAAAAATTGATTGATTTGATTCGTACTTGGGATTGGGCCAAGGGGCTTTTCACTGAGTCTCATCCCTAACCCTTCTTATTTTTTCAGACAGTGTCTCCCTAAATTGTCTAGGCAGGACTCAAATTTAGGATTGCTCCTGCCTCAGCTTCCCAAAGTTCTGGGATTGCAGGTGTGTGTCACTGTGCTTGGCTTACTTTGGCACTTTTCTGGCTTATCATTTGGACCTGATACTTCCAGTTGTCTGTATTACTGTACGGTGTATGTACCATCCCAAAGTTTCAGCGGTGGATGGTGTGGCTGTAATATGTTCTGCAATGCAGTCTGATAAACTATCGTCTTTCACTAAAGCAATAATGATGAAGATAGACCTCCATGGATGTTGGCTCCATCAAACATAAAGACAGTCCTCTATGTTGTGTGAAGCAGTAATGAGAATTCTATCAGTGAAGCTCCCCATGCAGCTGGCTCACCAGCTAAAAGACCTCACTATGCTGGGCAGACCAGAACTGTCATCTAGTTCCCATTCTATACACCTTGCCTGCCCAACTTTATTAGAGGGAGGCCAAGGTGAAACTTTTTAAGATGTCTTGAAACCATGAAATAGCTCATCAAGTAGGAGTAGTTGACCTGCAATGGAAAAGAGCTGAGGGAAGACAGGGGAGTCATCTTTGAATAAGGTTGGAAATTGATTTGGGGTTGCCCTACAGGTCCTAACTACAACCAATGAGCAAGTAAGAGTACAGCAAGTTTAATTCAGCCTACAGAGAAACTTCCCAATTAGTGCTGCCTAAAATTGGCATGTGCCACCTGGGGGCACAGTGAGCTCCCTGTCACTTGGGCATTGATGCATGAGCTGGATTATATCATGGCAATGATGCTGAAGAACTGAGCCATGGGCTATAGAGAAATGTTGGATGAGATGATGTCTGACATCTCTTGCATATCTGTAACTTTCTAATTTAATGAAACCAGTGTACCAGAGTTCCCTGGGGCTTTGTGAGCATGAGTTGGATGGACTGACAGTGATACTTGAACAATTGCTGAAAGCGAAGCTAAAGTGGAGCAACCAGACAGCATAGAAAGACTCATCCCCATCAGTCTATATTGAAAATCAGTTAAAGCCACACTGCTTTATTCTGGGAATTTCTTGAAAAGATGCCACTGGGAAATGTGGAATGAACCTGTTTCTTAAATATGATCATTAAAGCCTCTGCTCATTTAATGGGTAGACCTTTAGGTAGAGACTACCTCTTTCAGCAGCTAACATAAATCCCACCTGACTGCATGAGCGAGCCACCCAGTCAATATGGGTCTTCTGGACTTGGAGTGTGCTGTTATTTGTATTTATGGCCTTCTTAGTCTGAACAAGACAATCTGATGCCAATAGTCTATGTGGTGTCCCACATTTCTGCTTCCTGGGTAGAAGAATGCCATGCAGCACTGTGGAGGGCAGGTGGTGATTCTTAACTTGAAAGTTCATGAAGCTAGTACAAGAAACACATTCAGTGACCCACCTGAGTTAGCTGCAGTTCACTGAGCCTTAAAGGACATACCCATGTATCCAGTTGGAAGCAAGACCACATTTGGTCTAACTCCAGTCCTCCTGCACAAAGGAATAGTGAAACCCCTGGCTAGGTGAGAAACATATGCCTTAATGTACAAGTGCTCTGTCATCTCTGCTCTGCCTATGGTTACCCCTAGCTTCAGCCACTATTGGTCATTAAAATGCCAGGTCTGCTCTACCCATCTTCCTGGCATAAAATAAAAATATAATTCTCCCCTTCCTCGCCTCCCCTTGCTCCCTCCTCACATCCCACCACATACAATGCAGTGGAAAGAAGGCGTCTGGTGCCAAGGGCTAATTCACTCCCCTGCGTCCAGCTGCTCCTGGAGTGAGAGCCAGTACAAACACATTAGCCCATTTTCCACCTTATGTCTTCAAAAAATATGAAAGAAAGTACATCAAATAGTCTTTCCCTGTAAGCAATTTACAAGGTGGCTGGTACGAGCCCCAGATCCAGCCTTGCACAGAATTTATTTCCAAGTAAATTGATACCAGAGTTATTTACTAGAGTGTTAGTTCTGCCAATAACTTCAAACCAGAGCCAACATTCAAAAATCCAATAAGAAATTTGTGTTTGAAAATGTGAATTAAATAGCTTTTGCAAGCTGCTCTTTGGCCATTTGAACTTTGCCTGGCAAGTCGACCTGATATGTAAGTCTTAAGTGTTCTCTGTTCTTACGAGGTGCTTAGCTCATGCACTCTGCTGCTTGTCCAAGATGAACGTGATACAGTGTGCAGGCCTTGAGACAAGCACACAGTTGAGAGCCCTCAAAACAGTTTCCCCAAAGATAAAAGAAAACCTAGGCTCAGTGGCTGAAGTTTTTGACCTGAATGCCTGCTGTTGCTTATCTTTCAGTGATTTTTGCCTCAGAGTCTCCAAAGATAACCTTATTAAGATAAGTGAGGTTTGCAGGGCAAAGAAAAAAATAATTAGTATAAAGTTATTTTCCAAGAATTGAATGTAATTGGCTAATACCAGAGTTCTGCATGTCAGCTTGCTTCATGATTATTTCCTGGGCTTGTTATTTTTGTTCTGTTCTGACACATGCTTTATATGTGATGAGAAACACCAGGCAATATGAAGAAAGATAGTCTAGCAAAGAAAGGGCACATGGGCGCTGACTGGAGATACCAGGCCTGATGAGGCCCGAGCTGTGCATGATGGAAAGTGGGAGTAGAACTCAGATATCCTTTCTGGGGCCTGTTTGGCAGGGTTTTTTCTACACTTCCACAAAGTGAATTAACTTACTTCACAGCCAATCATCATGATTGTTACAATAAACATCCTTATTATACTTTAGCAACTGTCTTAAAAATATTTATCTGACTCATGAGTGCCAAACTGATGCCCCTTGCAGACACTTATTATTAGAAGAATACAAACTCAAAGATTCGGGCTGGTCTATTGGACAACCATAGAGATCTGACAAGACAATGAACTTTAAAAGAGCTACATTAGGGTAGGCAAGATAGCTCAGTGGACTAAGTGCCTGCTTAGGCAAGCGCAGAGACCAGGGTTAGATTCCTGGCACCACATTCCATGCCCACCCCACACCCACATGCAGTGCCAGCCCTACCCCCTGGGCATTCTAAGCTGGCCACCGAAATTGGTGTGGTAGCGCATGCCTGTAATCCCACTGCTAGGAAGGCAGAAAACAGGAGGATTGCTATGAGTCCCTATACCAAATACATAAAAGGGGGGCTGTATTAGAACCTAACAAGTCATCCCTGTCTTTCTAAAGAGCTCAACCTCTTCAATATCTGAATGTTTCTGATTGACAGACACAGGCCTTCCTTTCCCTTCCTTTCTCTGGCTTAACTGTTTACCTGGGTCTTTGACCTTTCCTCTGGGTTACTCTTAGACAGTGGGCACTTTATTCCAACCATAAAGGCCTTCAGATGGGGCCTGTATACAATGAATCCTCCTTTAAAAATTACTGGCAACATCTGATGATGTGTATGAGCCAAACTTTTCCTTGGTTTCCCTTGGAGCAATATTGACTATCAGGTTTAGGGTTAAAGGAAGTATCTCTCATGCTTTTGCCAAATTACAAAATGAGCACTGGCATAAAATATACCCTGGAACAGGTGCTGTGTGTGGGAGCTCTGAGAGGCTAATGTCCATGTCTTCTTACCCAGGCCAGTGAAAGGCGTGTCCACCTCATCGTGTCCCGCCAGGTTGAAGAGCAGAATCCAGCCACCTGTCAAGAAGCCGGCTGGAGTCGCAACAGCAGCCAGTCCCCAGGTTCAGGAGACACCACTCCCAAGGTGAGGCCCAGCTGGGGGTGGGGTTTGTGGTCTGTTGCTCAAGTGTTATCTCTGAACCTTTGTCGTTTACAGAAACACTACTTAATTTACAGAACTAAAGGGCCAAAGTGCCATCTTTAGACTTAGTGAGATAACAGGTGTCTCTCAGCCATTTAGAAAGGTGCTGGGAGAGTCTTAAAACCTGATCATTCAGATCTTACGTGGGATCTAATTCCTAGTCTAAGCCAAGTACATGTTATGTTTTTCTAAGAATCATTCTATTCGAGGACTGTTTTCTATTTGCCTTTGATATGAAACAAGAGGTTTGCTTAGTTTCTGGTTTTTTAGTTTCCCAGTTTGTCTGAAAATTGAAATAATGTCTCCACCACTATTTTTTAATCATTTATTTATTTATGTATGTATCTGTTTGTTTGGTTCAGGGTCTCACTATGTAGCTCAGACTCATAGTGATCCTCCGGTCTCAGCCTCCCCAACATCAGAATTGCAGGCGTACACTACCATGCTAGATTTCAGGACCAGCACAGTGCCCTGGGTTCTAGGGCCAGCACGGCATACTATTTTTAATACATCTGTGTTTATAGAAGGGCCTACGAAGATCATGTAAACCCTTGAAACTTATGGACACAAGGGAGTGGTGAAAAGTGGGGAAAGTCAGAGTGTACCTGTACTATCTTAAGGGATTCGAATCCAGAAAAAAAAAAGTTACACACTGTGGGTCAAGCAGAACACATCTATGAGTAGAATCCAACCTTTACGCTCCCTGTTTGCAGCCTCTCTTCAAAAGTCAGTCAGTCTAATTTGTACTGCTGTGTAGCTTCTATTAGAGGCACTACCTTAATCTCTTCATTTGCATGGGTGTCTACATGACACAAACCTTTTTAGCCAAAGCCAGAGTCTAGTAGCCTTGGCTTGGCATCTTAGCATGATGGTAATAAGCTTCTATCAGTCACTTCCCCTGGTATTTGAGTTCAGTACATCATTTGTAACTAAAAAAAGAAAGAAAGAAAAACCTTATAGGTAGCCCATTTTTCGTGTAGAACAGGGACAGCCCCTTTCCTTTCAGAGTAGGCCAAAATTGTGCTTTTCAAGAAATCTATGCAGAAACAACCCTTAAAATTTTAATTTTGGAAATCACTGCTTTCTACTTTGTTAACTACAGAGCCAACAATATTATACCCTTTTCCTCATGCTCTAGCCATCTATGCCCCCCAATTCCATAAATTTTATGTTTATTTGTAATCAGCAACTTAGATAGACCAAGTACACCCTGCAAAAATGTTTTATAGATATGGACTCTCTATTGTCTTCTTGTTAATAAATACTACTAACATGTTTAAACTGACAGTCTCTGTTAATGGAAAACTAGTGTAGTGTATTAAAGTTTTCAATCTAATCTTAGGATAATGAAGTAGAATGTTATATTTTAACTTGTTAAATTTTTTTGAAATGAGACCTCTATCACACTGGTTTTGAATTCCTTCCACTCACCCCTGGTGAGTCATGGAAAGGCCAGGAGGATCTGATCATGTCTTTGCTGCAGCCCCGTGCAGGAATTCCTAGAAACATACGCTGGCCTGCTGGGGGGTTGTAATTCTTTTCAGTTATATTTCTATCTGCCACCATGTGATTATTATTTTTTAATTGTGTGTGTGTGTGTGTGTGTGTGTGTGTGTGTGGTGCTGGCGATAAAATCCAGAGCCTCACGAATGCTAAGCAAGAGCTCTAGCACTGAGTTACACCCCCAGGCCATAGGGTTAAAGCTGTCTCCCAAAATGCCCTTATGTTTTAAAAGTAGCATATTTAAACTAAAGTAAATATGTGGCTGCTCAGTTTTTTGATTTAGTTTTTTATGTTTTGACCAAAGTTTTGTTTGATTTAGGAAACAATGTGGCATTTTATAAATAGGAGTTTAAATGATTCAAAGAAGAAGGCAAGTCAGGATTTGTGGGATAGAAAAGCTTTTATCCAGTTGAAAAGTGAAGAAATAATAGGCACGATGTGTAGGTGAGTGGTTATCTCTGTGGGAGAGAAAGTGGCAAGAGGAGTCATAAAGGCATTTTAATCATACTCAGGACATTTACTTCTAATGTTGAGTAGCAATGTACATGAGTAGACCCTGATATTATTTCTTATACTTTTTCAGATATCTGACACATTCTATTTTAAAAATCCAGGGGGCCAAGGATATAGCTCAGTGGCTTAAACAACAGCCTGGCAAGCTCAAGATCCTGAGTTCGCTCCCTGGTAACACACACACACACACACACACACACACACACACACACAAAGAAATATTTAAAAATATTTTTTATAACTTGAGTGATAAATTCTGGTTTCCTATTATACTTATAAATAAACCTGAACAATTTCATTGTAAGTTGTTATGAAGCACTAGGGAAAATTCTGAGGTCAACAAAGTAAGTAGCAGGCAGAAGGGAGAAAATATTGCCTCTGGCACACTGTCGTACTCCCTAAGCTGGACAAAGCTTGGTATAAAGGATTTACAGAAGGGCTTGGGTCTTCCATCTCTAGTGTGAGTCTCTCTGGTGAGTCTGAAGCAAGTGGCCATCAGAGGCACAGTACACATGGACATAATCCTTTATTACTTTTTTTTTTAGGCTTTTTAAAAAAAATTTTTTATTTATTTGTGTGTGTGTGTGTGTGTGTGTGTGTGTGTGTGTATGGCCAACTCAGCCCACCAGGGGGCAGAGCTGGCTGGCATGTGGTGCTGGGGGATTGAACCGCAGTCCCTGTGCTTTGCCAAGCTTGTTCCAAGTAGGTGCTTTAGACAACTGAGCCATCTCACCAGCCCCCTTTAATCCTTTATTACTTGAGGTATTACAGTCACTGTATTGAGCCCCTTGTTCCTCAGGTAAACATCTGTTTAGCAAAGGTAAGTCTGTTTCGTAAGCACTAAGGAAGTGTGAAAGACGATTATGCAACATAAAATAGGGATTTTTTTTCTAGACCTTGAAAACATTCTAATATTCATAAAAGAAAACAGTTTTTTGAAGTGTTGACTCACTACCACCAACAATAAAAGACTCACCTAAGAAATTTTGGACACTGTTCACTTTGTATGCTTCAGATTTCTCTGAAGGTCTCCAACCCATGACTCTCGCTGCTTTTGCCATTCCCTTTTGAAATACAAACTTTTTCTAAATTGGCCTGAGTTTGGGATAATGCAATTGTTTTTTGTTGTTTGTTTTTTGTTTGCTTTTTTGGGTATTTTAGTAAGCGTCTCCAGGGTCTCATTGCGTAGATGGACTCACAGTGACCCCCGGGGGCAGGGCCAGGATGGCACACCGGGGATCGAACCCTGGCCACTGAGTCTACCTAAGCAGGCACTTTAATCTGCTGAGCTATTTGGCCAGCCCTGTAACTGGTTTTGGAAGAGATACAAAATGATAGTTCTTTCTGTGTATACTTCTCTGTGATATGAAGTACCACTATACGATATAATTTATACAAGTTATACGATGTTGATCATTTTTGCATGTAAAAAACCCAGTTTGAGGGCCTGCCCTTAGCTCAGTTCTTTAAGTGGCTGCTTCAACAAAGCA